AAGCAGGATGTGCCTGTCGTCAAGTGCTCCTTCCTACATCATGATGTTCTCTAGAGCTATAAAGAGATATAACATAAAAACACACATTTTACTCCACATAGCTTTGACTTTGTTGGAGATTCTTGACCCTGCCTGGCAACTTTAAAGAAAGAGTACTTTATGATGTTTTATAGGTAGTGCAATGGTTTCTTCTTTCTTGGGTCCCACTAGTCTTAATAACTGTCTTCTTATATTTTTGTTTGGTATTTGGCTTTTTAAAAGCCATTTTGCTTGACTGGGGTAAATATCAGTTATAAGTAGGTGACAAATGTACCACCATTTTGTCATGTTTTAATTCTTAAGCTATTTATATCAATAAGAAGTATTGCTCATTTCTTCTAGACTTAGAATCTAGATGATGCCTGTTTCATATCATTATTTTCAACATTTATTATATAACCAAGTAAATATTTCCTTAACTGTGAAATATATAAAAATACTAAAATATTATATCATAATTTTATCACATTTCCATAGACAGGACTCTACAATTTTAAATATGGCAATGCTATCATCTATAGCCTTACCCCAAACAACTCTAAAATATAAGAAATATATTTAGAAAAATATTTTTCCAAATGCAAAATAATTTGTATGCTACTATTACACTTGGCTATGAAATTTTTTCCAAGAAAGCACCAATTAAAATAAGTCACCCCAAGAAAGGGATACTACTTGGCTATCTGGGTAGGTCATATACTGAAACAGTTGTGTTTTTTATAGAAAAAAGAAGACAACATTCCTGAGTTAAGTCTTTTTTCCCTGTGGGAAAAAAATCAATACCACATTAGAATTCTTTATTAAAATTATTATTTTATGAATAAGGTTAGATGTGCAGAATTATAAAATTTTTATGTAACAATTATAAAAATCTATATGGGACCAGAAGAAAGCAGAAACATTCAAATTTAGCAAGAGATAGTTCCACAGTATTGGATCAGAACAAAAATAGTCAATACTATCTCTTTGGTTGGTGGTCACTGAACTGAGTTGTGGCATCCATCCACAAGGTTGTAAGCTGTGCTTCTCAAGTGTGGATCAAGTTCTTTCATCAGTGCTGATTTCAAAACCTACCTACTGATGTATATGCCACATGCCAAAAGGCACCTGGAATGGCATCTAATGATTTACCTAGTTTTATTCCCTTGTATCTTACTTATGACAAGTGAGAGGGCACTACTGTAAGTAATATTTTACTATAAAAATAATTTACTGTATTATTTCTTTTTCTTCTAAGGAATCCATCAGCATCTTTGTGAAGGTGAGTCATAACCACCAAAATTACATAGACTTCTAAAGTTTTGCTTTTAATTTTATAGTTAGTATTTAGACAAGTGTTATTGACTTAGCACAAAAACCTGCAGGATTAAGTTGATGGACCAAATTATTTCCCACAAGAAATGAAGATCTTATTATTTCATGGTTTCAATAGTTATAAAACCCTACCAGTTCTAAATGTATTGTTATTAGACTTTCTTAACTAAGAAAATATTTGCCAACTTTTCTAAAATTATCTCTCCTACAAATCATATGTCAAGATCAGCTAAGGCACAGATATGGATATTTCATATGCAAATACTTATTTAGCATAATTGCAACAAGCAGGGTATAATTTAAAATGTTTTACTCTGCTGATAAACTAAACACATGAATTTATCCATTTATTCAGAAAGCATATATGTAACAATCATTACCTCACCTAAAAGATGCTAGATATTAGAAACAAGAAAGTGAGTAAAATGGGCAGACTCCATTTGGAGTGTATACTTGAATAAAGCAGTAAATAAATGCATGTTCCTATTATTTGAGGAATTTAGACATAATTCATTCAGACAGTGAGCAAATCATCATGCTTGTGTTTATGGCATATGGACTAGTCCTGCTATATCTAAGAATAAATTTGGGAAAGGAAAAAGGGTGTTCAATTCAGCATGTATGTTACATATTTGTTTGTTTTCTTTAAGGAAATCCTGAAGAAGATTATCGATATGGTAAGTTTTTAGTTCTATGCAGCCATATGTGGCTTAAAATGTTTATAATATGAAGAATGAGCATGCTTGGAGATGTCATTTATTGATAAAACAGATTATTTTAGGTGCATGAAAGTAAATTTTAGTGGCTTATTATTCAAAACCTTCCCCTTAATAGTCTGTAATTCTGTCAATTAAAAAATTTGAATTATTTGTACTTGCATACATTTGAATTTTCTATATTTTACACTGATTTTTTAAATTCTTTGTTGCTGTCACGGTAATGATTGTGTTGGTATATGAACTTTCTTGTCAGGTGACAGTTTATAATTTTGAGTCATTACAAAGTTAACTATCTCTTACCTTCAGACTTTTACATACATTTTTATTTCTTAAGGATATTTCTAGCAATTCATCTTGTGAAGTAGATTACATTCTCTCATAAAACAAATAAATAACTAATTGATTTAAAAGATCACATTTTTTGCAGTTACAATTTCTAATAAATTAATAATTTCCCATCTTAATAATTACATCAAAATATATTATATAAATATTACTGATAATGAAATTTTCTGTCTATAATTCAAATAATATAGCATATATAAACATAAATCTGTTATTCTAATTGTTACATCATTCAATCCCAGGAAAACATTTAAAAACAAATTATTTTGCATTAAAAAAAGACAAGTAATTAAATTTCTATTTTTATTTTTTGTATGGATGTCTATGAAAATAATTATGGGTCTATTTTTTTAAAACAATTACTTGAGAAATTATCTAATGATTTTAAAGTAGTTGGAAATCTCAGTATAGAACATCTTTTTATTTTAAATGATTTAGAGTAAGTACTTGCAGAGTAAAACTGCATCCCAACTTCTCTCTAATAGGTTGAGAGGACCTAATTTCTCAAATTAAAGTGTCTCAGTGATTAGTGTCAAATCACAGCAGATGATGTAACCATTTACTGAGTCTAAAGCCATGTGTGCCAATGGCGAACTGACACAGGCTTTGTAGTCAGGAGAGGGACTCTCCAATCCTGTTACCTTACTCTTTATGACACACTGTTTTTCATTACTTCATTTCTGCTGCCTACCTTATCTTTAACTGAAAACAAACATACAAATAAACTAGAAACTCTAAAGATTTTTGTAATACATGTACACTGTATCATACATAGAATGCTGGAGAGGCAGAAATTCTACCACTCTATCATTAACATATCACAACCATAAACCCACCATGCACTCATTCACTGGAATTAAAATAAAACTTTAAAACCATTCATAAGAACTAGGACTGTATTTATCCTCTGGACTTATCCCTAGTAAAGTCAACTCAGCAAGGTTTAAAGATCTTGAGCGGAACTATACATAAAATATACGACACAGGCTAGTCTGAAAGCTCTGTAGATACTCGATAAGGTAACTCTGCAATGGAAGTGATGCCAAGAGAGATTAAGCAACCAGATCAGAGACAGAGATTCCAGAGAGTAAGTCATGACAAATCATTTTGAGCCTCTCTGACTATAATGGTCAGATACGTTTATAAATTATATGTGGAGAAAATTGCCAGTCTTATCAAAATATTCTTACTTCCTTCTGACACACAAATTTCCCTTTTAATCTTATAAATTTTTCTGTCTGTGTATAAATTAACAAGATTGCTTCAATTCAATAGTATGTTCTGTAACATAAAAATGGTTATGCTGATTTTGATACTAGAAAAATTTTTGTCTAGAGGAATCTTGAAATAATTTAGAAAGTGTCTAAGCAGCTGAAGTTAGAATTCACTAGCTTCTCTTCTCTGTTTTGAAGCTTAGAGGAGAGTAACTTAAGTGGTTTTTGATATTTTTATTTCTTTTAGGTTAAGAGCAACCAAATTCACCAGTTCAACATCCCCCAATTTCCCCAGGCTGTTCAACAGCAGGTGCCTGTAACCTACTGGAACACCAATAAGTATTACACCAACCCATATGCTCCATATGTGGTATGTGTGCCCTGTGAAATATGATTAAATATAATACTAGTGTATCAATAATATAATCAAATATAATATAAAATATAATTGTTGGCTTTGCAAGAAAAGTTATGTAATAAGATGAAATAAAATGTTTTACACAGAAATAAAAGTTTAAGATGTCAAGGACATTTAAAAATCATATTATTTAATTGAAGTACTTGGAATTGTATCAAGAATAGTAATGGTTAATTGTGACAATTACCAATAACAAAGAATTACATTGATATTGTATTTAATTTCCTACATAGAGCACATTCCAGGAAAATTAAAGATCAAGTAGCGGACAAAATTCATCCATTTTATTTGTATTATTTTTAACTATATGTGTGCTTGTGTCCCTGTGTGGGCATGTGCATGTGAGCACAAGTGCCCACAATGGGTAGAGCTACTGGATCTCCCTAGAACTGGATCTATAGGCAGTTATGATCTGCCCAACATGGCTCCTGGGGTTCTTGGCAAGAAAAGTATGAACTCTTAATTGCTGAGCCATCTCCATAAGTTCCGGCTTTTGAGAATTAATATCCTCTTGATTACTTGATTATATTACTATAGTACAATAAATATACTATATTATATTTATTGAGGTGGAAACATTGAGTATTATTAATTTTTAAAAAAAGAATAGAAAGGTTAAAGGAGCAGCGTAGATAAGAAGCTGTACTCATGGTTCTACCTTCATCCACGTAATAAATGCCTTTGGATTGGGATGTTTTCCTCCACTCACATGCAGAGTAAACAGTGGAGTATGAAACAAAATTTTGTATAAATATTAGTGATTTGGCATTAAAACCCTTAGCTATGAGTCCCATATGTGACATTTATCTGCAGCATGCTTCCAACTTTTACTTTTTTGAATGATGTTTCTGAGCATGAAGCAATCATTAGATGAGCTCAGTATGGAAAGTAAAATTCATACTTTAGGTTCAATGTCAGATGCTTAGAGACTGTACGAGATACTTTAGGTGAAATGCAGTCATCCTTAGGGAGTTAAAATGCATTGTACTTCCTCTCCTTTCAGAGACAATGCATGATTAGCTGCTGCATCCTAGCCATAGGTAATACATTTGGCCTGGACATTGAGCAACACTTTTAGCAACATTTACAGTTTTTCATGCAACAGTAGAAGAAAAACTCACACTTCAACTCTTTATCAAAACTTCATTGAACTATTTTAAGTTTTGCTCTAAATTCTTGATGTGCCACTCAGTTGCCTGTGTAACTTGGATGTACATACTAAATTTTTTATACCCATACTAGTTATGGGTACTTAAAAATAAATAATACAAAAATTCCCTGGTGGAAGAGATTTGATTCAACCAGGAGAAATAACATCGAGCAGAAACTGTCAAAAGCATCATTTATTGGTGGAAGTAGTTAAAACAGAGGTTTGTTTTGTGGTGTAACTTACAAGTAAAGAGATAGGTTACAGGGTCCGGGAAAGGTGTAGCACAGTCCAGCGGTGTTCTCTGGAGAACTCTGCTCAATCTACCTCCAGCATCCGGGATCCAGGAACCAAGAGAGCCCGCGCATCCGGATTGGGGGTCATAAGGGCTCCTCTCTTGGCCCTGCCTCTTAGGCTTAACAGTTACTGGAAGCTCCAATGGGAGTGGTACTTCCAGGGCAAAGCTGAAACAGCTATCAACTACTAGCATTAGTGGCCATATTGGTACATACTTGATATTTTCGTTTTACATTTCACACAAAATGTCTTACTTGCAGAAGATATATCTGTCTAGCTTTTTGTACAGAAGGATGGGTGGGGTAGATATGAAGGTTTATTTCTATGTATTTTCTTTCTTTAAAATTTTAAGCCACCTAGTGGTGGGTCTAGATGTATAAATATTTCTCAATTATTGGAAACATTACATAGAATACCATTTATAAAATGTATTGGAGAATTTATTTATTCTAAGTATTATTTAGACAATAATTATCAATAGCTACTATGAACACGTTAGTATGTCATTATTATGTCATCAACTAGTGTTAATTATGAAGAATTATATCTAGCCACTCTGTAAGTTTGAATGCTTGTATAGATCATATATTTATGCATATTATATATATTTTGGTAATACATATTTTTGATAATCCATTATTTTCTCTTTGTTCATAGGTTTGAGTAGAAAATTGATTCCTGCTTAGTTTCCCCATCCATCTCATCATCTTCTACTATCAACATTCCCTAAGATACTTCTTGAAAAGACAATAATATTGAGCCAAAGAAAGAGAGAATGGGATATTTTCTGTGTTGTTTATGATCTTCTTTGTGTATTGTATTGGTTGTGCCAGTTTTGGATTATGAAACCACATTAACTGTATTGCTTAACTGAGGTCTTTTCAGTTCTAATTCTGAGATAAGAACCAGATTATCTCTTACCAAAGCATTAAAATTTTAAATGCATTTTACTGTGTGATCTTTTCACTCAGATTCATCATACATTAAGACCAAGCTACTCTTTTTTTCATTTTTCTTTATTAAGAAATATTCTACTCACTCCACATACCATCCACAGATCCCACCTCCTCCCTCCTCCCACCCCCAGCCCTCTTTCTCAAGCCACTCTGCATCCCCACATCCCCCAAACCGAGGTCTCCCATGGGGAGTCAGCAGAGCCCAGGACACTGAGCCTAGGCAGGTCTAGGCCCCTTCCTGCTGCACCAAGGCTGTACAAGGCATACATGAAACATGCTGAACACACTGTGAGAACATCAGAAGATGGAAAGTACTTTATAAAAATGCACCAGTGAGGCAGAGGTGTAAGTTATCATGGCCTTGAAACTTGCATTAATCAGTTGATTTGAGGTGATAAATCATTAAGACTCGTTTGCAGAAGAAAGTCGTTACACAATATACGTTTTGGAAAGGTGGAAAGCAGGAGGCTATTGTCCAATTACTTAAGGATTCCTCTACCACATTCACTTGTTTCTGTTTTTCTTTGCCTCATCTGGACTTTATCACAGATCATTTTTGCATCTTATTTAATAGTGTACATTGCCTTTCTACCACTCAATTGAAAAATTCCTGGCCCCATAAATTCATAAAACAGATTTCTGTTCATTTGGCTATTTGTCTCTTTGCTTTTTCCAATCTTGGTCTCAACAATTCTCTCTCATACAAACCCTCCTCTTTCTCACCAATTGGACTCCTGGAGCTCCACCTGGGGCCTGGCCATGGATCTCTGCATCTGGTTCCATCAGTCATTAGATGAGGTTTCTAGCATGACAATTAGGATGTTTGGCCATCCTATCTATGAACCAATAGCTGAGGAGCCCCCACATGGATCAGACCCTCTGGATAAGTGAGACAGTTGATTAGCTTGATCTGTTTGGGAGGCATCCAGGCAGTGGGACCGGGTCCTGTACTCAGTGCATGAACTGGCCGTTTGGAACCTGGGGCTTATACAGGGACACTTGGCTCAGCCTGGGAGGAGGGGACTGAACCTGCCTGGACTGAATCTACCAGGTTGAACTCAATCCCCAGGGGAGTCTTTGCCCTGGAGGAGATGGGAATAGGGGGTGGGCTGGGAGGAAAGCGGGGATGGGGTGGGGTGGGGCGGGAGGGGGGAGAACAAGGGAATCTGTGGCTGATATGTAAAATTAAATTAAATTAAAAAATTAAAAAAAAAACAGACTTCTACCATTGTCTAACCCAGGCCCTAAATTGAAAAGCCAAAAAAAAAAAAAAAGTCTTCTAACAATACAAACATTGCTCTACCCATTTGTGTTTCTGAAATTTTCCCGAGCAATCAAAAATGTTTAGAAAATGTTTCCTTACTAGAGCTAAAGCTAAAACTAGCTTCCATCTCACTAATTACTAAACAGCTATCAGCCTTGCTCTTCTCACAATTTCATTAAGACTACCAAAACTATCCAGCATAAATCACAGCAGACTGACTCTGTCTGACTTTTCCATAGCTTAGGCTGAGCTTACGGATTAACCCTCACCCAATGGGCTGATACATCGCATCCATATTCTCTTTCTCTCCTTTCAGGCCGCACTAAAGCTAGTCCTCTTAACGGGAAAGATGGTGGTAAATGGAATAGAGTATGATCCCTAAACTTACTACGCAACTATTATGTGTAGTGTTGTTAACACACGTTGACTCAATCACTGTCATTAACAAGCATATCATGGAGGAAACTGTAGTTGTGTCCAAATGAGGGTGATCATTTGATTAAGTATTACATCTTAGTAATTCTCCCAGTTTTCTTTCCTTGATTGCTTCCTCAATATACGTTGCACTGACCCTTTTGTTCACAGTGCAAGGTCCTTCCGGGGTAGCACATCAGCTCTTGACTTTGTGAATATGCATATTTTTCCATTCTAAGAATTTTCATCATCTACAATCCGATAATACCCAAATCTTTACTTAAAATCCTGAGTTTCTAACATCTTCATTTTACCTCTTAAATAGTTACCTTTATAATTCTCAAATAAAAATAAAATCAATTGAATGACTCTTTATTTAAACTTCTCTTACATAAGCTGCTTCCTTATAAATTCATTGAAAACTTTTGTATTTATATTATAACAAAATGAAACATGAATATATTATTTAATGAATGTATTTGTTTGTAATAAAACAGATTTGGAGGGTTTGGACTTCATTTTAGTACCAGACTCCAACTTTTTCATTGGTATAGATTGGAATTAAAATTTTCCCACTAATAAGTAGTTTAAAAATAAAACTGAAGTTAAAATAAAATGTTGGCAAATATTGACTCTGTGGAACCATCCTTTTAAAATCACAATTGATCTTTGTCAAGTATTTGTCTCTAAATGAAACACTTTTTTTTTAATTTTTGAAGCATGGAATTGGTTTTATCAATTATCAAGATAAAAAACTCTTTGCTTTATTGCAAAATATTAAGACTTGTTTTGCCTGTAATTCAGTCTCCTGAAATCATCTGTTTATGGAAGATGAACTCTCCAACAATACCAAAAAGATGATGCTTTGTGTTGGTTGTCCATCCTTTTTGCTGGCTATCAAGCATTATCATCCCATCTCCTGTAGTGCTGAATTTCAAAGACAGACTATCAGGACACTAGAAAGGGGTTATGAGAACAGATAAGGCCCAGGGCTAAGGAGTAAGGTGGTAGTAAAATAAACATGATAGGAAAACAAAATGGGAAATACTGAAAGTTAATAGTTCAAATACAGATGGAGATGGAGTGGGGGAAAAGAAAGTTTGAATGTGGGTTAAGCAAAACCAGCGATGTATGAGAAACACCTACAGAAGCCCATAACTCTACAAGCAAAGCTTTAAAATATAAGTAGACAGGAGTTTTAACACTGGCATTTGGGTGGACAATGCTTCCATGTGAAGTCTTGAATTATTAAATTAAATACCTAGTGCCAGTTTCTGGGATACCTCCCTATGAGTTATCGGTCAGGGAGGCCATGAAGACTTCCAAAACAACACAGCTATTTCCATTGTTCTTGGTTGGCCTCCAGAACTTGATGGTAAGACCCTCTTGTAAGACAGGTGGCAGGACCTAGAGAAATTAAGCTGGAATTGGCCTGCAAACTTCACTGTTGGCCAGCTTTCATCCTATTAGAAGGTGCTGTGCAGGCCATTGAGGGAGACATGGTTATCAGTTAATATAAACCCTGGATGCTACAATACCAATCTTCCGGGCAAAACGTGTTTACAGGTACATCAGTGGCATGAAGTTTATGTGGGTAACTATTATGTCTTTTGTTTTTTGTTTATTTGTTTTGTCAACTTGGCACAAACTAGAGTAGTTGGTAAAAAGTGAACCTTATTTGAGAAGTTGCCTCCATCTGACTGACCTGTAGACAAGTCTAGGGGTCATTTACTTTATTGTTCTGTACAGAAGAGCCCAGCCACTGTGGGTGATGCCACCCTTGGACAGGTGGTTCTAGTATGTATAATAAAGGTTGAGATGCAAGCCAGTAAGCAGCTTTCCTCAAAAATCTCACCTTTAGTTTCTGCCTCCAAGTTTTTTTGTCTGCTTAAGTTCTTACCTTGACTTCCCTTAGTAATGGACTTGATCTGGGTATCTAAATTAAATAAATCCTTTTCTTCCCAAACTTCTTTGGTTATGGTGTTTATCAAAGCAATGAAAAGCAAACTAAGATAGTAACCAATCACTTTTGGACTCGATTTAAAACCTGTTCTACAAGAGGGAATTCATGCCAGCACGGTAAACCTGGTCAAAAGCCCATGAATCACAGATAACGGATCCTAGGGAGCAGCCTACTGCTGGTGCTAAATGGCCCATATTATCAAACTGCCTTCTAAATATTTATGTTTAAACTCATAGATTAGTGCTGCTCCTGACCTGGGCCAGTGAAGCGCCTTCTTGCAGTATTTAGCTGTTAAAAGCATCATAACTGGTCAGAATGCTGAGGACTAAGTGACCAGTGAGTGCTCAGCAGTAAATGGGACATCTATATCAACACCTCCCTATCCAAGATTCAGGAATAATCGCAGAAGAGAGGGTGGAAAGAATGTAAAAGCCAGATGATAGAAGGAATACTATTTTTTTTTCTGGAGCTGAGGACCAAACCCAGGGCCTTGCGCTTGCTAGGCAAGCACTCTACCACTGAGCTAAAACCCCAACCCCAGAAGGAATACTATAAAATGCTGTCTTTTGGACACAATATGACTGTTGCACTGACAAACGTACTGCAGCCGTTATTATCTGCACAGGACAAACGTAAAATCAAGCCAGCAAGATCAGTCAACAGGACAAACAGAAGTACTAGTGAATTCATTTGTTACCAAAAAGGAAAAAGTGTATCAGGGAAGAGGATATAGTCTGTGTTTATTATGGGGGTACTAAGGAACTGAGTTAGAGGTGGACATGATCAAGATACATTGCTTATATATATATAAATGAAATTATCAAAGAATTAACTAAAGATATTCTATCTGTAAAAGATTAAACAATGATGCAGTTTTAATGTTTAAAATTAAATAGGATTTAGGTGCATTTGAAATTAGTAAAGGTTTTCCTTCATAACAAAAGAAATTTACTTTGGAGCTTCACTTCCAAATGCCTTTTAGAATCTTAATTTTATATTACTTTTTATCACATATAACTATGTGCTTTGAAGAATGCTTGATACATATTGTAAGGAATAAGTAAACATACAAAGAGAGATTAAAAAGATAGAAGGATGGGCAAAGAAAAGCCAACATACTCAATTAATTATACTGTAACTCAATAAAATTGACTGATTCAAAGTGTAGTATTAGAAAAACTTATTTCAGGGAATACAAAGTTTGTAATAGAGATTATTTACAATGTTAAATGCTTAGAAATCACTTTCTAACATTGTGGAATTGAATTATTGTTTCTTTCAGACATACATTAGTCTGTATGTTTTCTTGAAACTAGATGAGAACACATCCCAGAGAGTCCTTTGAGTA